CAAAAACTTTGGTTGATCTTTAAGATGCCATACCAATGCCTGTAGGTGTGTGAGAGAGTTTGCTATAACAAATTAACATGGTTCTGTCCTGCCAAAAGTGTTCAGCCTTCTAAAAAACCTTGAAAGGAGATATTATTAGTATGTAAAGAAAGTTATCCAAGACTCCAAGATGCAAAATCCCATCAACCCAGAAGAATTTTGGGTAACCCAACAGTTAGATCAGATGTAAGCCCCTGAGAAGCTATCCACTAATTTGTAGATGAATTGCCAAACCAGAGTGGCTAGACTGTATCAAAACAGGCAAGCCCTTGGTGTATCTGTAGGCAGACTCATCAGGAGATACTTAAATTAGATCAGAGTAGTTTCATGCAGAGAATAAAGAATATGGATTGAAGGATGAATGCCGAGACCTCTCCTGCAAGATTCTGCCTCTGTTTCCCTTGACTGTTCAACCTTAAAACAGGGTAAATAAAGCATCTTGATGGGGGTGGCTGGGAGAAGGGTTTGCTTTTACCTTTTCCTATGAAGACTTATTTAGGTGATTAACATACAGCTTCCTTTAGCTTTAGTTACATAAGGGAACCTCCCCCATGACTCACTTTTTTGCCTCTCCCCCAAATCATATGCTTTGAGATCCAAAAGATTGGAATTATTTAGGTATGGGGTCCTTTCAGTAGTGGCCCCAGCAACATGGAATATCTTCCCTGTTGCAGGTTTAGTCAATCTCATCACTGAAAACCTTTGTTAATTAAGGATAGCTGGATCAGGAGGTTGAGCAGCACATGTGGAAAGGTATTTAGACATCTTGCAAACAGTGGGTGTGTGTTTGCATATTGTCATCAAAATACCCATCCTCGTAATGGGATGGGACAGAGAGGAGAAACTAGTTGTGTTTCAGGGGCTCTTGGAAATTTTAAATACTGTTTTATGTGCAAAAATCCCTGCAAACTGGATAGTGTGACATCAAGATACAGAAGGACAAAAAATCATCACTGGAGACCTCCCAGGATCAAATATTGTTGTGTCTAGAACTAAATGGCAAGACGGCATATATTTAGGTGGCAGATCAGGACACAATGCCAGAGGGCACCATGCACCATGACCCACAAATTAAAAACCTTTTTAAAAAATCAAAGTAAAAATAGAGGAACTCTCATGAGAGACCCAAATCTTATAAGATTTCTGGGTTCCTGCAAATCTCACCAGAGTTCAACCACTTTTAATTTGTTATATATATCGCAAACATATTTTTTAACGGTTGTCATCCCTCCTGCCAAAGAAAGTTGGCTGGTGGTGCCCACTGCCTGAAAAACTTATTGACCCTTGATTTGGGTGCAAAAAAGTAAAAGGGTATACTTTGGAACCCACTGAGAAGGTTGTGGGGAGGGGGGCATATCTGAACTGCCTAATTCTAAATGGCTTCTACATGGCAAAAATATTTGCAGAAAACTATTTCCTTATTGCCATTTAGTGGTTACTTGGATTTGTGAAGCCAAGGTTTAGCAATCTAGGTTAAGGTCAAATTACCTTGCTATAGTGTTTGAATCCAGGATCCCCAACCAAATATTCCTACTTTGATCTGCAAAGCAATGTCTTGGGTTGATGTTTGCTTACACTGGAATGTTGTTAACTGACTTTTATATGCAGATATTCTTTTTCACTAGTGGGGCCTGCATCAATCCTCCATCAGATTTTCTGTTTTGGTTTTCCAGCTGCCATCTGGTAGCTTCTGAGGCACTTGGAACGTGTGTTGTTATCTGAGGTGACTGGCCTGTTACGTTTTACATAGTATTTTATTTATTTTAGACTTTTATATATTGGCTCGTTATGAAGCTGTATTTAGGGACTACTACTGGGGGACACTGCTTTCTGATGGACAACCTTGGTCTTCTTTCAGTCAGTGATAATACTTATTGCCCGTTACCCTGATTAAGATAATGAATATTTAAGATGCAACCTGTAAATTTGTATTGCAGTCTCAACTAATCACTGCTTATCCATAAAAACCTTTCTTAAGGATTCTTACTTTCTAGTCTGATGTCTCATCACAATACCAGCATTAATCATGGAGAAATCTTCCATTTTGCCCGCCCCTGGCTATGCATAAATAATACGGGCAAAGTAGCCACACTGTCCTTCATTCAGATCTTGAATTTCCCATCTTTTTCCTGTCTCTGGAAATGCAAGGAATTGAATCTGGTATTTTCCACATATAAAATATATATTCTTCTCTTGTGCTATGACCTTCACCTTTTTCTTATGTTCTTGTTTAAATTAAAATTAAAATATCCAGTGAGGGAAATCACACATCACCATAGTGCTTAATCTTGTCTGAAGTTTTTAATCAAGTAATTTCTTTCACTTCTGCTATACAGTTTGGCCATATTGCTACCTGTATTCATGATCTAAAAAAGAGTTTTGCAACTCATATAAAGACCAATACTCCATTTTAATCAACTGAATTTGGTATGCTGAGGACCTTATGATGAGACACACAGCCTGAGAGAATGATTAAAAAATAAATTAGAACAGAAATAACCAAGGAAATAGGACAGCTCAAATAACTTGATCTTTCAGGAATGCAAAATAAAATGGGCTCCCTGCCTCTTACATTTTCTGCAGAATTGCTTAACTTTCCAGATATGGATGAAGAGTTTCATTAATCCACAATTGTGCCCTACGGTTTGTCTGCCATATGTTTTCTCTAATCTACACAGTTTGCTGGTGGTCTCAGAGCAAGCTGAGGAGGAAGATTAAGGAATGTTTGCTCTGGTTTGTAACTCAGAGATTCCAGAGCATGGGAAAGTAATGGGGGATCAATTGCTTGAGTAAATGTAGAGTAAGCAACAGTTTATTGATACAAAAGGCAGCCAGATTATACCATAATGCAAAAGTGAACAGACACATTCTTATGTGAACAGTTTCTTCAGCTTAAAGATAATGATGCATCCTATTTGGGGGTGACTTATATCCTACTTTACATCCTGCAGAACTCTAACTGAAGATATCATTTATTTTAAGAGCGGGAAACCTATGAACTTTCTGCTGGTCTGAGTTAAATATCATTGTTTCATCTCCACTCAGGCTCCCTCAGATCTTGTTGCGCTCAAATGTTTAGCAGAAGGGCCACAGAATTTTAAATCCATATTTAACCAAGAAGATCTCAGAAAGTCAGGATAGCCAGAGGACCCTGAAAATAGATTAGCTTATGCCAATATTTTAGGGGCCAAGCTATATACAAGCCTCAATGGAAATTAGGCTGGATTCCAGCCTTAACAGTTGGATACACAATGGGGCACACCTAGAGAAGCTGACTTCAGTACAATATTTACAAACCTAGGCACCATAAATCATTTAGCTCAAGACCTTTGCCCTGTAGATCTTAATAACTGTCATGCTTGTTAGCACTGCAACGTGCAAAATAGCATTTGCAAAATGATGGGCCTCCCTAAATACAACCCTTATCTTTTCAGGATGTTGAGGGCAAGAAGAAACCTAACCTGTAAAGGACTTAACCTGAGTAATACTGATGAAATCAGTTTTCCAGGACTGATGGTGCATGATAGTGCTTCTTGAGAACATAATTATTTTAATTTTGCCATGATGGACAAACACCTTGAAATACATCCTCAAGCCAACTTGGAATGTAGAAAAAATGGCTGTGGCATCTGCAAGCATAGAATTTAATTAGGTCTATTGATGAGAAAAGGAGAAACTCTGGCTTTGACAAGGCTTTCACCAATGAATCTATATAATAATTCAAAAGAATATTTGCTAGAATAAAACTTTGTTTTAGCCTTTTCTGGAATGGTATATAGCAGGAGTGATGGTCAGCTATGGTCAGCTACTGCTGTCATCTGTCATTTAAATTAAATCAATTAAATCAGATTTAGCTTTTGCCTTGGCCCAATCTACATCTGAGTTCAAGTTCCCAACAGGCAACTCAAAAACCAAGAGCAACTAAAAAAAAGAGCAGCAGTACTAAAATAATTGAACACCTTTCTTTTACTTTGAAAGGCTGCCCACTCCAAGACTAACTTTAAAAAAACATAAAAGGAAGAATATGAATCTTAAAGTTGCCCATGAGCAGTTTTCAGCTGGACAGCAAACAAGTTATATGTAAAGTGACTTCTCTATTATAGAAGAATAAACTGTGTTTCAATTTTAATCATGGTTTCTGCATTTGTATTTGTAGAAATAGGCTGAAATACATTTTACGTAAGTCTTTGTTTAGTGCTGTAAGGAAAGTTTGCTAAGTATTGTTGCTTTATGATTTCTGATCTCATTTATATAGCATAAAAACAGTCAAATCAGCATTTCTTCTTCATGGACAGACACCTACTTTGTCGTGTTTCCAGATTTTTTGAATGGTGGTGTAATTTTAAATTTCAAAAGTAGTACCATAAACTTCTGTGCCTCAGTTTTCATTATGCAGAAATGTTTTGAAGGTGTTACTTGACATTTGTTCTTTTATTTTTCCTTTTAAATGAACAGTGCTCCCAGTTTTAGTTGAGAAAAGATAGCGTGCTTCCACTGTAGAAGTTTGGAGTCCATTATTACTAAAGGGACTTTAAGTGGCTTTTAATCAAAGCCCAAACTTCCAACTGCTTAGATAAAATGAACGTAATATGGAACTGTCAAGCAAAGATGCAACATTACATAAACCTGGAAAGTGTGACACTAAATACAGTGTAAGAGTTAAGCATGTCAAATTACTACTGAAATACAAAACTCACCACATAGCCTTGCTAAAGCACACAATCATTGTGGATAAAATGCTGTTTAATTTTTGTTGATAAGAACTTTATTAAATTCCAACAAGTAAAATAATGTTTCCTGAAGTGTTTTCTGCATTCTGTTAACATGCTTTTCTAACCATGTTAATATTCTGTTTTTTATTTCTCATTAATCCTGTTTGGCTACCTAGCTGATATAACTCAGCACCCTAGGTCTGCTTTTTACTATATGATTTACTGAAAGCCTATTTTTCATTTCTACAGGAGGTTTGCATCGGGCTAGCAGTGTTCCAGAGTATGTATATAAATTAGATGCAGTTGAAACAGACTTTGCTTCAAGACCATCTTTTGCAAATCCGTATTATCAGTCTTATCAGGTGAGAAAGCTTTAATATATGAAGGGTTTATATGAATGCAGATTAGGTCTTATTTGGTTGCAAGAAATAATGACTGAATGGTATTATTAGTGAGAATCCCTGGTGATTTTTTCTCATGATTTGCATTTAAAGCTCTTTTACCATTGTTATAAACTCATCAACTAGGCATGGGAAACTTCTACATCAATGTTTCTCAATCTTAATCTTAGCAACATTAAGATGTGTGAACTTCAACTCCCAGAATTCCTTAGCCAGCATGCTGGCTGGGGAATTCTGGGAGTTGAAGTCTACACATCTTAAAGTTGCCAAGATTGAGAAACACTGTTCTACACCATGAACCAAATACATCTTCTTTTCTTAACCTCATCTCCTCTCCCTTCCATTCCTTCTCACCCAGCCCCAGTTTCTCTCTCTAGACCGGGAAACACAAAATGCTCTTATCTTTGCTCAATAAATGTTAAAATAGCTTCTGTTGATATCAGTGGAAGCTATTTTGAAGCCTCATTGCAGCACAGGGGAGGATTCAAGTTTTCAAAGGGAGGTCTCCATGATGTGGAGAAATATCTCTGGCTCAGTGGCTTCTAGTAGCATGCATCTTCTAAACTGCTCAGTGATGCGATGTGTTTGTGTATTTTGAGAGGTATGTTTGCTATCAGAATAGGAAGACCTAAACTCCATAGCTGTATACACTGAAGAAATTTGGTTTCCCCAGTTGCAATATTATACCCACTTATTTAGTGTCAAGACACATCCGACTTCTGAATAAACATGTGTAGGACTGCATTGTTAATTGCCTGGTTTGCTTGTAAAAATGGACTCCATTTATTCATTTATACATACTGTGATTAAATGACAGAAAGAAATATCATTTTATAACAATAATAATTTCAAATTTTACAAATGAATTGCTATCTTAGCAATATGGCCAAACCAAGATAGAATCAAAACACAGATGTTTTAAAGAATTAACTGCTGTCACTTGGAGTCTCCCTATCAGGAAGGAATTTAATCCTCACTGCAGACTCTGGGGCTTTTGATTGTACATAAGCCAAAAAGAATTTTGTCTTTGTTTATATTTGTCAGGCACACTGTGGATCCTCCAGGCTCAAACCATCTTGTTTGGATTAAATTGTATGCCCCAGTTTTAATTACAATGTCTGTGTTTATGTAATTGCTTGCTTTGCCTTGTCATTTCTCCATTATCAGTAGTCTACTTTGCACCTGCCTAACTCATCATGTTCTCATACTATAGAACTAAAAACTATTTCATGTATTTTTCATGCTAGGTTATAACAATAAGGTTACACTGGAAAGGGAAGAATGGGAATGTAATATAAACCTATGAGGAAATAGCAAGTTGTGTTTTCAGTTTTGTTCACAATAACTGAAATAACCTTGAAAACTGGATGGCTGCTTGTAAAGAGCAGTATCTTAATCTTGTAAGCATGATCCTCACACATAATCACATTCTAGCAAGCAACAGTGCAGAGAATGATGAATGCAAGAAAAATGGGGATTGGAATCAGAGATAGCATGGTCAATGAACAATGCAGTCCACTTGTTTATTCAGAAGAATGCTGGACTTTGGGTTCCCTTGCACCTGATGGAATTCTTTGGGGCAGCTAGTATCTCTCAAACTAATCAATCTCAAGCAATCTGGGGCTCATAAAAGTAGAGGTCAAGTGAGCATTGTCCTGAGGATCTTAGAGACCAGCAGAATATCAACAGTAGCACCACAAGAATCAGGCTGGAACTATTAGCCAAGAGTCCTGTGAACCAGAAGGGATCCTAGCAATCCCCCGTTTTAAGCCCAGATAGTGTATTGCTGTGCCAATGCACTAGTCAAATCAAGGTTGTAGTAGTATTTTAAAAGAATTGATTTCTTGAAATACAAGCTGCAGATAAGGTGCTGCCTTACTGGTTTCACAAGCAATAAAAGAACCGTATTTAAAATGGAGCCACCTCCAAGCCAATCCAGGGTCCTCATTGGTTGTGAAGCCTAAAGGCAGCAATTGCTAATTTATAATTACAATTATTTGTTTCAAATGTTTCCGTTTCTGCAGTATGAACTGGCCACCTATAATTTTTACAAGGTATGCTTGCTGCCAAGGAAGAGGTAGTAATGCTCTAGCCAGAAACTAAAACTAGATGCCAAGAGAAGGGTATTGGAGAAGCCAGCAGGGAAATGTGGGATCTATAGAATCCCTTTGTCCAAGGTCCCATTAACCCTTACATGGCTTCTAAATATCCGTGTAATAAATGGAAGATTTGGGGAGATAATTTTTTGTCCCTTCCCACATAGAAGCTGGAAAGGGAAAAAAACGATACAGCCTAAGTCACAGGAAGTACTTAGAAATAGTGATAGTCTGGGTAGCCTTCTCTGTTCAGATGCCTGTTAGATGAGTGAGGATTTTCCCTTGAATTCTCAACCAGCATGGAATTTGGGGACTTGCAATTTAAATTCGTTAAAAGGCACCAGGTTGGACAAGATAGATCTAGGAGCAAGACTTGATACACCAGGAGGATACAAATTCAGGTTCCTGTTCTATAGTAACTAACAAAACACAAATGCACAAACCAGTTCAACTGGTGTTCTTGCAAAGTTGCCCTTGAAAAGTATCCTCAAGGTGCTGCCCATCTCAGGAGACAGGAACATGTTCAGTCACTGTTGGGTCAATTGTGTTCCTTTTGTGTTTCAAGCCCCAAAGCTTATGTCTCAAAGACAATAGCACTCCTCAGGAATTTGAAAGTATCAGAGGAAGAGAAGCAGAAACAGGGATTAGCACTATCTCTACTAAACCAAATGTCCTAACAACATCAATTTAGTGCCTGACTTGTGAGGAAGGTAGTAAGTGCCTCATCAGACTCAGATCAGGATCATTGCTAAGAATTGGCTCTATATCACTCACCAAGGGCTCTGAAGATGGGGCAGCCAGAAACTAAGTGAGGTCCTAATGCATGGAGCTTCTCATCATTTCAATCCAGCCATGCTAATATCCTCTACTTTACTAGACTCAGGTGCTTTAATGATACATCCACAGTACCCAAGTATATCCTGACCTAGTCCATCAGTACCACCAAGGATGTGCTGTGGTTTACCACTTTTACTATATATTCATTTCTGATGTTGCTACTCTTTACACTGCTTTGACTGAGTTTACCAGAAATAACATTCCTTTTGTTTGGAAGCCCAACATGTCTTTGAACTATTTAAGCATGCTTCGTCTTCCAGCTCATCCTCCATCCTTGTATCTTCATTGTACAGGCTGATGTTTCTGATATGATCTTGTGAGTTATTTTACTTCAGTCTTTGGACTTTTCAGGTAACTCCTCCTCTGCCATTTATTCCCACCAAATTATCTTTCTATCCAAAAAGAAGCATGACATTTTTAACAAGGAGCTTTTAGCTATCAAGGATGCCTTTCATATCTGGTGTCACCTGCTTGAGAGAATTCAGTATCTTATATAGGTTCAGACAGATCACCAGAAACTGAAATTTCTCTAGACTTCTTACAGGGTTACTTAATGTCACATCAATATCCAGCTGGACACTTTTGAGTTTTTAAATCCACTCATCTCCTATCCTATGAATTTTTGTAGCTGTCAAGAACTAGGTTCCATCTTGCCCCCTCTGAAGTTAAGTCAAGGCTTAATTTGATTAGTCTGCTGGACATTCTCCAGAGGTCATCAGACACAAGTTTCCTTAACCTTTACCATGAACTTTCCACTTGGGTGGATACTGTTTTGGCGACAGATTTTTTTTATTCAAAATGGCCCACTTCCTGTCTTGTTGTGGTTTCTTTTCTGCCCAAATAACACTTCATTTTGGATAGAGGCCCAAATTCATGGAACACTTCTAGAGTCCCTTATTTCAATTGCTGCATGTTAAGTGTCACCTTTTTTCAGTTCATTCTCCACAATCAGGGAGATAGAATCAATGTCACCTTGGAGCAATATCTTTGTGGTGGTAACCTTCAGCAAGACAACTGGCAAAATCTTTTACCTGTAGCTAAGCTTGCTTACATCAACTCTGTTAAAGCCTCTACCCAGTTTGCACCCTTTGAGATCACCTGTGGACATCACCTTTGCTTTTATTTTACCATCTCCCAATTCTCATCTAATGCTGAGGCTGATCACCTCCTTCAGGAACTTCGTACAATTCATTGCCTTCTCCAGAAATAGTTAGATCAGTCCAAGGCTTCCAACAAGTGTTAACTGCCATTGCCAGTCAGTCAGAGTGATGGGAAGTAGGTTATAGATTCCTGTAAATGGAAAAGCAGGAGCAATCTTGACTGATGTGTATCTCCAAGGCCTGCCCCAGCTAGGTCCATCTTCTTTTCACAGTGATGCCTTCCTTGGTGGAGACAAGAGAGTAGGTATGCAGAAAATGTAAACAAGTATCCACATCAACAGACTCTATGAGGACTTGAGATAAGAAGAAATGGAATGGTGAGGGCTAGGAGAACCAAGGTCAGATACAAAAAGCCTGAAACTAGATTGTGCAGTAATGGTGCACAGATGCCAACCACCCCAAGAAACAACCCACTCTCAATCTATTAGAATGCACAGGTAGGAAAAAGAGACAGAAGGAGTGACTTGCAGGATTGACATGTACAGTATATATGTACTATGTGTGTTGTTATGCATGTATATAGAGACTTTGAGGGTTATAGTTGGCAGTTGTGGATTTTCTGCTTTATTATGGCTTTTCTAGTATCTGTAACTTATCAAAGAGCTTTGCCCTTGAATCTCTGCCCACTCATCTTTGAGTTCAAGTCACAGTCTTGGGGAAGCCTGACACCAAGTCTTCTCTTAGAGAGAGGAAAGGCTTTGAGAGCTGACTGGGTATAAATTTTGAACTCTCATTCCCTCTCACTAATAAAACCGTCAGCCATCTTATATGGCTACTATTTCCTGGAATACAATAAGTATCCAGTTTTTAGCTGTGTTCTCAGTGGGAGCCTGACATCTGCAGATTTCACTCAAAGGCCCCCCTGAGACATGAGTCAATGAATGGGCTCAGCTGTGTCTTGCCCAACACAGTCCCTGATTTCGAAACCATTTCATGGTTCATCTGCACCTTGGTTCTCCCCTATAAGGAGGAAAAAATGGGTCATGAACAAAGTGGGCCCTATATTGTCAACATTCCTGAAAATAAGATCTCAGACCCATTAAGATAGAAATGTTTTATTGCAATATTTGTAAATATGTTAAGGCAAGGCAATGATGTACACTTTCTGTGCATGCAGTATTTATATCTTAAATGGGAGAGGAAATGAAAACATACATACATACACTAATTTTAGTATATCTAAGTCTCTGCAGATAAAATCTGTGTGTGTTTCTTTGGATTAATCACCAGGAAAAGTTAATTATAACTTGGACTCTCATTGCATCCATTCCAGTTGCATACTTTGGTTTGTACTGTACCTATTCATTATACTGATAATTAATTCTATAAATGATATATTTCTTAAAATGAATATTTTCTACAGATTGAGGCACAAAAGAAATTGTTCCAAAAATATTCTTCCTCCTCTAATTCCTTCATGAGATGCTTCCTGTGGACTCTGATTTTCCTAGTTTTGTTTAGTTTTACTTTTGTTTGCTTTAACAGATAAGTTCCCAAAGTAGTTATGAAAATGGCTGGGGTCCTCGCAGCCTTCCTTATAACTCATACAGGACAATGGAAGAGAAGTTCCACAGACAGCCCTTGAAGAGATTGGAGGTTTCTCCTGAGAGCAGTCCTGACAGGCCAGTTTTCCTCCACAACGACTTCCGCTACAATAAGGGTTTAACAATTCGACAGAGCGAGAGGAAGAGATCCAGCGCCTTGCCCCCAAGATATGCTCGTTCTGAAATCCTTGGCTACAGAAGCCATGGTGCTTCAAGCAGAGCATTCAGGCAGTCCTACACTGGGCAGGCTAATGAGACGGTGGTGGACAGTGTTCCTAACAGTCCAAGACTCCCACTCTATCAGCGCGTGGGGAATAGCCGGAGTATGAGCAATCTTCTGGAGAAGGAGAATTACCCGAGTTCTGGAGCTGCAGCGGGACAAGTCAAAGCTATTCTGCATTCCCAAACTGGAGCCCAGCACAGGCAGTCTGTACAATCCAGCTGGCATCAGAGCACCTTCAGGTCCCAGAGCACGAGGGAAGCTTCCTTACCTACTTCACTTACCAGTGCTACTGCCGAGGCAGGTGGGAAGACAACGGTAATGACAGCGGGTATGGCCGCTGCTGGAATGAACGGCATCCATGAGCAAGAAAGGATGGCTGCCAGAAGATCTCAAATAGGGTATGTCTTTGAAGACACGCCACTGTCAGTAATACAGAAGACTATTCACCTGGCAGTAGGGTAGTCTCAGTTCATATCAAAGCAGTACATAGAACAGTGTTGTCCAAACTTGGCC